ATCATGAAGAGACGACTTAGTATAAATATAATTTTTATCAAAAAGTGACTTAGGCTATTATTTTAAGAATGTGACGATATGTAAAAGTCATATATTTATCCCACTGTAGCTATTGTTACTGCTGCATTGAATTCACTATGTTGCAATAATATAATGACGCGTACACACACACCCGAGTCTATTTTCACACGCATGAGGACTTCAAGTTTAATATAATTTTAGGTTCGTTATATTCAAGCCAGTCTATTAATTAAATGCGTTTCACATTAACCTAATTCATAAGACTGTTTATATATTATAAATAATATTAATCATAGAAGTTTTCACTGATCACTGCAATTTCCAACATAAATAATTTAAATAAGGAATATGAGTTTTTATTTTTGGGACCCCGAGTCACAGAATATCTATGTTACTATCATTAACCGCAGAGATCACGCTCTAGGCAGGCGCCGACTGCGCTGGCAACGACCATATAAATACCGCGCCGCGTTCTAGACATCATCATTCGTTCTGCCGTGCTGTACACATCAAGATTATTTTCTACTGATTTTATACCCATAATAGTATAATAGTATGCTACAACTATGCCGCCAAAAGACTTCTATTTCTCCTCCTCATCCTCCTCAGCATGATGAGGGCTTGGCAATCAAGTAATTCGAGTTGTCCTTCTACGAGAAACATGGCATGGAGTAGTGTTGCTTCATCCATAGTAGACACTGGTGGGGTGGCCAGGGTAGCACCCCAATTTATACCCCAAGTTCGCAGGACGTAATCTGAGCGTAACTAACACGTAATGCGAACGCCACAACGGCGTGGTCTGAGCGTGTTGGGCGTAGTACAATCGTAATACGAACGGGTCGAGCTTGCTAGAGACGCACCATCGTCATAGCAAGAGCGTGGTCAGGTCGCAGAGACATCTCCATGGACGTATTAACAGCGTAATGAAAGCGTATTGACATCGTGCTGAGAACGGGGCGACAATTTTCACGCACCCGACACGCTTGCGATACGATCATTAAGTTCGTACTACGCTCGAGTTACGTGGGTACTACGCCTTCCACGTCTCTAATACGCCCGCACTGCGCTGTCTTTCCGCTACGCTCGCACCACGATTGTTTTGAACATGTTCAAAGTTTGGCCACGCTCTCCACGCTCATGGTGACTGCACCGCGCTCGATCGCGATCGCAGTACGTCCATATACGTTCATACTGCGTTCTACACGTTTCCACCACGCTCTTAGAGCGTAGTACGAGCGTAGTGAGATCGGGGCCCTGGTGTGAATGGGGTATTAGACATTCAACATCAACGCGTCCAAACATCCTATCACAATTGACCCCCAATAAGTCATTCTCACGTCTATATAGAATCTATATATCTTTACAGAAGCGGTACACCAGTGATGCGCTGTACTCGTATGGTTGTATTTTATCGTGGTAATTAATGAATGGTGATAATATATGGTAGTAATGTTTGGTAATAATGTATGGCGGTAATGCATAGTAGCAATGTAGGATAGTAACGGATGATGATAACGTATGATAGTATAATGTTTTATAGTAATGCACGGTATACTATTGTAATAATATATGGGGAGGTACGATGTTATCAGCAGTGAATAAAAACAAATTATTTCCTCTTCTAAATTCTAAATTTCCTCCAATCATTCGCTATGGCTGCAGGGCTATAGCAGCCGTTAGTCGGAGTACAAGTACTATACGTGGGTGGACTGAAACTATACTTACACACTTAACTATAATTGTTTCAGGATTTGAGAGGACTGTCACTATTCCTAGCTGCATGCCGTTTACTCTGGCGACGAACGGCTGCCGCGGCTACTGCACCTCGTTCGCAGTTCCCTCGCCACAAGAGGTCGTCGCAGTCAACCCGACTCACGCCGTCACGTCCTATGCGAACTGTTGCAACATAGGAGATTCGCGCGAGGTACGTACAACGCGCGCGCGCATGCGTGTACGTGCGCGCATGTTATCAGGCGTAAAAAAACACAACATTTGTGTAATTATTCACCCCTGATGTTATCAAGAGCTAATAATACCTAGAGTGTACAACGGAAAAACGGGAAAATAGTGCTATTTCACGACAACATTATTCTACTTTGCCTGCGAGTTTAGAATAATTTTATGGTATTGCATTAAGCAAAATTCTTTGCTCTCTAAAACAAGACCAACCGCTTGTCAATACGATACTCCTAGGCTGAGATATTGGCTCTTAAACCGCCCCTCCCACATGCCTCACGCCGCCTCGCATCCCGGTTATTCAGCTCGCAGGCAAAGTAGAATAATGTTGTCGTGAAATAGCACTATTTTCCCGTTTTTCCGTTGTACACTCTAGGTATTATTAGCTCTTGATGTTATGAATGTACGCGCGTGCGTGTGCGTGAGCGTGCGCGCGTGTGTGTAATCGTACACGTGTGCGCGAGCATGATTTTTTGTGTGCACGCATGACTGTATATTTATACGAAGGCGGATGTGCGTTAATCACAGCCTAGATGCGTTGGATGCGTCTTGATTTGGATTTATTACATCTAACTGCACAAATAATCGTATAAACGCGATTTTAATATTCAACGCGAGTTTGGTCCATTTTCTACCTACTTGTCTGAAACTTTAATCACCTGGTTGTATCGCTGTTAGTGTTTGTTATTTTGATATTCTGATTGGTAAAATTCGGGCATTCGCATTTTGAATGAATGAAAAAATATAATAACCGTGGCTGGTTTTTCTGCCGTAATTTACCTTAGCTTTCATGTAATTGCGCACGAACGTGAAAGGCATTCTTAAAACTACAAAAACTACAACGACGTCGTTGCCTGTTGGACATTATTGGAAATATATATTGCTTCAGCACTGTAAATCTACTAGCTAAAAAACTTCAGAATCATTCGTGCGCAGAACGAAGGAATTTGCTTCTAGCCTCTTTGGAATTTACGCTTTTCGTCTGTTCTCTACACTTCAATAACTGATATTTTTAATCGTAGATGTTTCTAATATACTGCCGACTATTCTCACCATATAAAAGTAGGTGTCTTGCCAGTATTATTTATATTACGGTTGTATATTTGAAGGCAGGGTAGTCTCGGTAGTCTTGGTTAACATATATGCGCCAATCATTGAAGAAAATGAGTTGTGTTCCTTCGCGGATTTTCTTCGGTCATGGAGTACGCGATAGATGTGCTATATATATATATATATATATATATAGCTTACCTTTCACACAAGATCGTGTATCTTTGTCATGATACTCCGTGCATGAACGCAGCGTGGGTAGAATATCATGCGCAAAGAATCACAAATTAGCCCGCTAAAAAGGTGCTACGTGGGCGGGTAGTCAAAATTTATGTAACATAACTTGTAATAATAGGCACTACCATTATGCTGATGTAATGGAACGCCATGAGCGTTATAAAAATCGTCAAAAAGAATTCACACTGAGCCCAGTGCAACATGAGGTCGCTGAACGGTAACAACAATTTGCTTTCCCGTTGCAGCCGGAACTGCCGTAGATCGAGTCAGTACTCAGTAGATGCGCATAAAGGCGCGTGAATTTGCGTAAGCCCCAGGCAAGTTTTCCTCACCCCTTCAGCTAAATAGACAAACAAATATGCGACCGCCCAATGCCGACTGATCCAGTCATAACGTGAGCATGGCCACAGCTGTTAGCCGATCTTCTACATGGTTATAGAATGCTGGTAAACAATGAGACATTTTTCGTCGTCGTCTGCTTCTTGAATCGAGGAATCTTTAAGTGGGTGACTTTCTTGCATGGTATTAACGTACTGCGGAGCATTCGATTCTGCTTTAGGTTTTTGACCGGTTGGTGACTGTTATGAAGTGTTTCTGGCCAACATCTGGCGCTAGTGGCTGAACCATTTTTTCTCGTTTCTCTTCTCAGTCATGCTCAGATTCGCTTCACACTTGGCTGCCACCAGATTTTATTTCAGAGCGTCTACAGCCTAGTCTAGCCGCCGGTTTGTTCTATCAAGGCCTTCTTTTTTCTATACGGGTGTACGTGTAGTATCAAACGGGTTCATGTCGTGCTGGTGCCACGACCCACACCAGATCACAACCGGTCCAATGCATTCCTTATTTAAGCCTATCAAGATGGGCGGAGCGGCGGGGGCCCGCACGAGTCCGAAAGCGCGGCCGCCAGCTGGATGGGGAGGGCGACTACGAAACAATGGGAGCCTTTGCGCTCGTAAAAGGGGGGGAGGGGGACGACACGGGATCTCCGCGGGTTGTTATTCTGGAGGGTAATATTTTCCCGCCAAAACACTCTATTATCTGGCACAGTATATTTTTCCCACATCATTATTGGCACTAGGTCAGGGTTATCTAAAAACACACCCAATGGCAAGGCTGGAGGTGGATTGGAGCCAATATTGGCTAAAACAATTCATTCGGCAACTTATCAGCCAGGGCCAATATTGGGCCTATTAACGGTCCAATATCTGCGCTTATATTGACAGGACGGAGATGCTGCAAACCATAAATGTCAATATGGCGACACGGGTATCACTTTTTGGTGGCAGTATATTGCGGAGCAGGCGTGTATATTAGGGCGCAAAAGCGGATCTTGCGACACGGGTCAGGTTTTCAAAGTACCCAGGAGGCAGTCTCCTTAACCCAGGTTGGCGAGCGAGGTGCCCACCCCCCCTCCCTCCCGGGCTGCCAAGGGCGCTCATGGCCTGATGAAGGGTTCCAGGTTGGCCTGACACATACTCTGGCTAAAAGCATTTTACGATAGATCACCCGAGGCGGGTAGCCCGTGTTGAAAGCATGCTATAATGTCGAATCTGAATAGACGCGCGTAAGGATAGTTATAGGCACGGGGGCGGCTTTCTACACCAGTGGTAGATAGGCCGCACATGTGGAGAAACTCGCAAACGTCTAATGTTATCTAAGTGAGGCTACTAGGGGCAGATGAATATCAGACCCAGCGAAGTTAAAATTATCTAAGATGATATTCGTTGTTGGCATGCGTGACGACGCACCCCACGCTACAGTGTATGGGCAAGTCATGCGCTACGATTGTTGCATTATCTACCGTCAAGTTTACTGTGATCTGCTTTTAGCGACTGCTTGCTAACGCCTACACTGTATTTGTGAGTTGGACGCATACTCTCAATATGTTAAAAGCATATATTACTCCCACTGTAGCTATTGTTAACTGTCGCTCATGAATTCACCCCTATGTTGCATAATATAATGACGGCGTACACACACCACTCCGCGTCTATTTCACACGCCACCCGAGAGACCTTCAATTTAATATAATTTAGGTTCGCTTTATACTTTCAGCCAGCTAATTAATCTAAATTTGCGTTCCCACCATTAACCTCATTCATAGACTGGTTTATATATTAGAAATGAATATTATTTATTAGAAGTTTTCACGTGATCACTGGCAATTTCCAATATAAATAATTAAATACGGAAATAATATTTTTTATTTTTGGACCCCGAGTCACAGAATATCTATGTTACTATCATTAACCGCAGAGAGGGGCCGGCAACGTGAACAAATTGCTGGCGGTTAACTAGATATGTATAAAACCATTCAAAACAGCCCTCCCCTAATACCGTATTCATGTCGCTCTGGCATATAAGGTAATGGGTTGAATGCGTTTGAAAACAATAACGTTATAGAAGCCACACGTATATAGAGATTAAATTTACTCATTTAAACTTAATCAATAAGTAGAAAATCAATACTTTCGCACAATGTCAAATCATTTATTTCCGAATGCAAACTGATATAGATTTTATGGTGTTTATATATATATATATATATATATATCTGTATATGAAGTTGAACGTTTATACATATTTCCCCGCAATATGTTTATAAATGCGTAATAAATAGAGATAACACCGTGATTAGATCATTCTCACGCACAGTCTAGTAAGCCCTATGTAATTGTGTAATTCCTAAGAATTCCAGACGTTCTAGAAAGTTAAATTTCCATATTTTTCGCATAATTTCCCATATGTTGCTCTAATGTCATATTCGCGATATAACCAATGACCCGAGTACGTGTCACGTTTTAGCGGGTGGTATCTGTTAAAAATACAACATACAAACAGATAGAATCAGGAGGGTAATAATGACAAATGTATAAACCTGGTAGAATGTATACTAGAACTAGAGGAAGCAGCTACAACATCGTTGGTATTATCTTTCGTGCCTTTAGTACTGCATGCATAGCTAACCCGTCGCATAGTCAGCTAGCCTTCCCAGCTAAACACTAATAATTTTACGAAGGCATGTAATTTTGAATGTTGACAGCGACATTGTGGTTGGATGTGATAAAATGTGTGCAGAAAAACCATTTTAAATGAGTTTTTTTCCGAATTCACTTGTTTCCACTATCCCGAAAGAGTACAAATGTTATTACCTTGAGTTGGCAGTAAAGTTATAACACAAGTTAATCGGAATTTAAAACACTGCCTTCCATACATTCGATGCAGCAATTTAGTGGCAAACATGCAACATACATGCTATGTTTAAAGGGATCGTTTACTCTAGGTTTTAGGGTTATTTTCAGTTAATTGAGGTTAAAATTACGCTACATTAAAAGTTTCATGGTTCAATCACCATTAGAAATATTATTAAAAAATGTTTTAAAACTAACGACTACAGTTTATTACAACGACGGTGCGCCACTCAAGCGCACGATCTGATAGTTGCGCCGAAACCACTTTTCAGCCAAGGGCTACAGACGAGGGTGTTTCTTATTTATTAATTTAAAAGCAAAAGGATTGTAATATCTTATAACGACATATAGTTTTCAGTTATATTATGGATAAATTTGTTCTAAAATGAACATCGTTCGCGTTAAATAGCATTTTAGGTATGAATATAAATTGCACTTTTGTGATTAGCCTCGGTCTGTAACGTGCAAAATAAAATTTTGGATATATTGG